AACAATGTGCTTTTTTCCATTCGACCACCCAATAAAAAAAAAAAAAAAAAAAAAAAAAGTTCCATCGCCATTCAGTGTACTTCTCAGGAAAATGTTTGCCTATTTCATTGTTCTTGCTAATGAAAAGCTCAGTTCCAGTTACCCAGCTCGGGTAACTGCTGAAAGTGTGGCGGTGATGGTTCTTAAAGCAGTACCTCAGACTTCCACAGAGTGGCGTGGGAGCTCCAGCCAGACAAATGTTTCTCCTTGAACTCCAGCAGAAGCAAACCATTCGGCTTCCAACTGAAAGGCCCCATCCGGCAGATCAGCTCAGCGTCCTTGTTCAACATTTGTAAGGCAGAGAAACAAATCGTCAGTCCAGTGGGAGGTCGCCCGAACCCGTTTTGATAACGTTTCTGTCTCTAGGTTGTGTTGCTGTGCGCTCGGATCGTTTGTGTGGCCTTTGGAGATTTGGCGACAGAGAAGAACCGCGTTTGCTGCAAGTTGTAAACACCAAAGAGGTTGCCAGTTGTGTGACCGTCAGGTAAGCTGTTCCGAGAGTGAAATGCAATCGATAGGGCCCGAGACAAAATAATGCATAGATTAATATTTCATCGCTGTTTAAAAAAAATATCTATTTTTATGTCATTAGTCCTCACGTTTTAGGTGAAGTTTTGGTGGCAAGTGAAAGTGGAATCGTAAACCTGTGGACTGTTGGCAAAGGGTAAGAGCATTTCTGGTGACTTTCTCCTGAGCAAGGAAGATGTTACAGCTGGTTGCGCTCAAGGCAAAAGTCGGTCCAAAATTAAGGTTCGATTTTCACATTTTCCTCCCACTGTGTCAGAATTCAAAAGGTTTGGGAGGACAACAGCAATCTTTACTTTAATGCTAAGTCGTCATGGCGATGGTGTGAATTCTCCGCCCATCCGCGGGTGATGCTCTACGCTGACAGGACCGGCGCGGAACTCTGCGATATCAGGGTGAGATTGAAAACAACAAAACTTTGGGAAATATAATGCGGCACACATCGGCTCCTGTTTTGTCACCCCCAGACGAGTCCCGCCTCCAATCGCACGCTCTTTAGCATCAGCAGCACTGCAGCGTGCAGAGCTGGAGAGAGGCTCATCCTCTCGAAATATCTGGCCGAGGTTCACACGTTTCACCATCTCGTCACCACTCAGGTACGCGCATTGCAGTCCTCAATTTACGCCACCGCTTTCAATCGACGGTCTCTTGACATCTTTGCTTCATGTCACATAGTCTGGGAGAAAAATAGATTTGACGTTCCATTTCACTCTTAGTACTCGGCCTACATCATCGACGAGCGATTTCCCTGCTTGCCGGTGCTGAAGATGGATCACATGATGCAATCCCCGCCGATGTTCTGTCACGTCCTTCCCGGTGTATCGTCATCCAGGAGCAGAGCTCGCACCACAAAGGTTTTCCTGGGTTCCCAGAGCTCTCAGGAAGTCACACAGCTGCAGTATTCAGGTCTGGAATTACTGGGGTGGTGTTGGGGGGGGGGGTTATTTCCCCCCCACTCATTTCCCGAGCTGCTCACCAGTCTATGCATGTTGACATGTTCAGGTGGCAGAACAGAAGCGTGCGTCAGCGTGGGTCCGCCGCAGTCCCTACTTGGGCCTCGCGATAGCCTCAAACACCTTCCTGTCCAGATCCCGCACCGCGAGGACACGGCAGCGAACAGGCTGTCCTCACCATCTGCAGGTACGGATAGATCAGAATGACTCTTTTGTTTCCCGGGATTGAATGCCGCCATTCGCAAGGCTGTACAACAGTTGTAACAAATCGCTTAATTTTCGGATCAGAAAGTAGCAATGGTTCTGAGAAGCTCTCGGCAATGCTGCTCCTGTTAAAATTCCCGTTTTCACATTCCTAGGTCTAACGTGTATCCAAAGGAGTGCCAGAGATGGAAGTTACGATCGCATCTGTGTGCTC